CAGATTCCCTGTGCTGAGTGTTCCGCTTCATACGTCGGCGAAACAAAAAACCTCAAGGAAAGAGTCCGCCAACATAAGAATGACGTACGAAAATTTGATCGAGAGCGTAGCGCTGTTGCGGAACACTGCGAGGACAATGACCACCGCATCGACTTTGAAAATACCCGAATCCTGGATGTAGAAACCAACTGGCGGCAACGACTCTTTATTGAGTCATGGCGCATACAGACCACACCAGGAAATATTAATCGATCCTCCGGCACCTTGCCCTCAGCATACGTCAGTGGTCTACGACATTTAGAGAAAACACCAAAGAAACAGGCCCCTACCATAGAGGAAAACGAAGATGCCGATCCTCGTTTGTAAATAACCAACTTCGAAGAAAACGAAGGTACCGCACCTAGTTTGAAAACTAACCACCGTAAAAAAAAAACGAAGATACTGCGCTACATTCACCGCAGAAGAAAAGAAAGAAGCTGCTTCTCCTTTAAATAGCCCCCCTGAAGAAGGTGCCGAGCCGGCACCGAAACGTTGGGACCCTACGATTTTTTAGGGATTGGTTGGCGTTTGCCCTTTATTCATTTATAACATTTAACCCAACCAGGCAGACGTCTGCCGAAATGTTCACCTTCAATCATTAGCCTAGCATTGGATCACAACGAATAGCTAAACGCAGTACTACTTAACACGCTACTAGTGCATCTGATTTCTTTACAACGATAGCCTGTATTTTCTAGGTATCCTGGCAGATCCAGTGCATGCTTCGTGTACGTCGTGGTATCACGTGTGCCATGACGTCACTCCACAACGTCACATGACGTCAATGTAGCATAACTTAATGGTTTCACCTACCACTGTGGCATCCTATTGCGTCACAATATCGCGCGACGTTTCATGATGACGTCACTTGATGCTGTGACGACACGCGGCGCAACACTTACCTCACGCGACAACGTGACGTTTCGCGAAATCATGATGTCACATCACAACGTCATGTGACATCATGACGTTACGCGACACTGCGGCGTCACGCGACACTCCCTTTTTCGTGACAGCGATGCAAATGCAAATGCCAGAATGCTTAACTGAAATACTTTGTGACAGAAGACATTTGACTCTTCATGTATTCGCGTCGAGAAGTTCGGGACGCGCCGCCTGGTAGAATTTTTTCGCAACCCGTAGCGAGGATACTTCAACTTCCTCTGTTGGTGCAAGCTCGTGCAATGCCAACCTCCGATGCACTATGAAAATTGAAATATTACCGCACTACCCATAGTAACCAAAACAGGAGAGCCCCTATACTTCGTTTCAGCTTCGGTCCGAGCGCGGCTGATGTTATGAGCCGAAGGGCCAATCAGACACCGCAAAAAGCGCAGCGTCATGGCGTGCTCTCTGCTCTTGATAGGACTAGCCGGCGGAGGAGCGCGCACAGAGACACGGCGAATACCGGCTGGTCCTATCAACTGCATAGAGTACGTCATGACGATTCGCTTTTTGCGCTGTATGATTGGCCCTTCCGCTCATAACATCGGCCGCGCTCGGACCGAAGCTGAAACGAAGTATAGTAATCTTCTCACCGTGAATAACGATAACACGAAGGCCACCACAAAATCGCAGTGCTGAAATCGGTGTTCGCTAAATACCTTTAAAGTGTATAATGGCTAGACTTTGTGACACACTTTAGTCCTATAGGCCTATAATATGCATCGTAGCCTAGTGACATTTGTATGGTGATGGAGAAAGCCTGTGTCAGGTTTGATTGTGCGTAATTTGTGTGCAGCTGGGCGTGCAGAGTCTCGGCTGTCGCTGCAGCTTACTTAGCACGAAGCGAAAAGGAGTCAGGATTATTTTCTAAGATGGCCAGGTCATCAAGTATCCAAAGAAAACAAATAAGACTTTGGTTTTTGGACAACGTAAGACCGGTAAAACTTGGAGGTATGGCGACACTGGTTTACTCTCTAGATGAAAAACGCAGCCGGGGCAGTGCGGCTGCTAGCCTGGGGTCTTTAAGGTTCATTACTCAGCTGTGGCACCCGATCGCACGCCGGTACGACGCTTATCCAGATCAATACCGGTAGGAGTTGGTGACTGAACCAGAATTCCTGGGATTTGTCGCTTCACGTGCTCCGAACCGCCGTGCGTTAATACACTCGTCCTCTGGTCCCCCGTCAAGCCTTCCTCTGCCATGGATTATGTGTTTCTGCGGCACCAATTTATTCCACGCGAAAGGTCGTTCAGCAGTGGACATTTTCACCGAAACCTAAAATAATCCCGTTTATTTTTCCCACTGTGTTTTATTGCTTTCAGTTCCTTCAATTAACGTCTAGAATTTAAACGGAACATAAACATTTCGGAATAACAAACAGAAGCCAAATATCTCCGCTTTCTACGTTTAATCAAAATGTTAATCTTATAAAACACAAATCACTGCGATAAGTGTTGCCTTTACACTGCGTAGCAATCTCTTCTGCGAGAGTTCAAGTGCATTGGGATATTTACTCATGCTGATTCCAGCACTTTTCACACCATATAAAACGAGAGGTGGACGCTATATCGGATCCTGTCAGGTTGCATGCTGCTAGAATATCTGTTTGTTTTCTTCGTTTTATTTCAAATTTCTCACCAGCTGTTCTTCATTTAAACAACAAATACTATAGGTAAGCAATACACATTTTCTATTTTGCCTGAAACATACTGCTTTAATGGGTTTTTTTTAAATTGTATTTTTATTGATTTGGTTCAGGCACACAATAACATTAAAGGAGCTCTTCGGTGGACAATGGTGCCCACTCACTGTAAGATATTCTGTCCCGGTTCGAAATATAGAATAATAGAAGTGTATATGTGACTGAACATATTAACACTAGGCGGCATGGCCATATCAGTACCGGAACGGCATCTCGGCTAGAAACATTTGTGTAAAGAACAATGATGCGAACCTCCCCTCGACAGGTCGGCTCCTCCTCTCCTTGGGTGAGACTCTCCTTTCCCCCCACTCCGCTGCCAACAGATACCGCCATTTTGGGCGTGGCCATGCAACACATTTTAGACAATAAGGTCGCGGTGCAGAATTATCAACATTTCCTCAAAGAACGAACGCGGGGTGGGGATTGGACACGAGAACTGCATCTGCGCTCGGTGGAACTTCGTCTCCAATCAGCGGCAGACGAGTCACAGCCAATTTTGATGCTGCACTCGTCTCTTTCTTCTCCGGGCGCGCTCAGAAATAGCGTTCTCTGTAGTGTCGAGAAAGACACATTTGAGGCTGATGCAGTAGAGAAAAATGGTTTGCGCTACTTTCTGTATAAAATGACTTTATATTTGGCCGGTACAGTCTCCCGTGTATCGGCGTGCATTCCCGCATGGGGCTCTTTGAGGATGCACTTGGGGCCTCTATCTTTTGGTCGATATTCATCTTATGGTGCGTGTTATACGAGTTACATAATGTTACAACTAATAAACAAGACATCACATAGGCCTATAGCCAGACATAGCTTAATCGCTGCATATGTACGTTCGCGTGAATAATAAAGAAATAGGCATCTGGTCATTTAAGCTGCACTAATAAATCATTCTGTGACCACTGGAGTCTGGAAAATAAGCTTAAAAGAACGAAACTTTAGACAAATAAAAATTTCAGTTCATTTTCTTTATATTATGCGGTTATTTATATCGATCAGATTGAATATTGCACAAAACCGATCACAAGAAAGCTGGGACGGGGAATTCAAACGCACGGCACACAAGCCATTGTGTGCGGAGTTTGTTCAGTTGATTTCTTTCTGTTTTCTTCTTTTTATTTTCTTAGTTCATTGTCTATCAACTCGGCCAGCTTATATATATACCACGTTTCTAGAATCAAGTTGATCTTAATGAATATACTTTGTGTCTTATCCTGTTTAAAAATTATCAGACCTGAGGGAGTCCACCTTACAGACGCAGTGAGATATCTGACACCTTATTGTATACTAATATACCTTCACCCTGAAGTATAAGCCCGAAGGTCCCTCAGTGCAGCAGCAAGTCTAGATTTGCACTCAGCTGCTTCTGCCGTGGTCGGCACCATACTTAAAGCAAGCATTGCCAATCCGTGCTCCCAGAGTGACATTGGCAACGTCACACTCCAAAAATTGCAGTTTTATTTCAATATATCGATCAAACCGTCATATGCAGAAGTACTTTTAATGGGGAACGCAGCAGACCTCAAATCTCAGCCATCTAGTAGTTGTTTGGTGTCACAAATGAGTTGCCGTAATACGTGTACGTGTGACGTCATGTAAGGTCATGAAGTTGCGTCATTTCATGACGTAACGCGACGTCGTAATTTCACGTGATGCGACGCCATGTAATGTGAGTCTAGCTCACGGGACTACATGACATCCTGTAATCACATAAGGTCATATGACTCTGGCTTCACGTGACGTCAAATCACATCAAGGACGGACTCCCACAGCGCACCACAGCATTATTTTAAGGGGCTGTAGAAACCATAAGAGCTATCGCTGTAAACAAAAGTCATCCGTTGCATGCTTAGTTATTTACTGGCTTCCTTAAGTAAAATGCTGCGTATATTGTTATGTTTATTTGTCTATTCAAATACTGCGGAGGTCATGGGGGTCATCTTGTGCACTCTTTTGTATCCGTTGTGTAGAGCTTACGCGAAATGTGAGATGTCACATGACGCCATGTTATCAGGAGCAAAATTACGTTACTTTTCTGTTTCATGTAACGTCACTTGACTATGGTGACGTGACCCTGTCTTAATTATGCGAAGATCAAGCTTGCCCGTTAAATTTAGTGGGGAAACTCTTACCTGCACTTTTGGCGAAATTTTTCCTTTGAATGTAATCGTGACGGACGGATGCACACAATGTCACGGTTTAGTGGCCTAAGGCATGCTCCCGAATTTAAAATCTAGCAACTTGCACGACCTAACATTCGGAGTAGCTGTGAACAACGACTTTTTTTTTTTAATTTTAATGTGGCCGGTTTTATTGCAGTGATCGATTCAACGGGAAAGTACCCTACCGGGTTGCTGCAAGGCAGTCAAGCCGACCTCGGAGCCTACGACGAGTGCCTGGAAACGGTTGTGCATGATCAATTTGGCAACGAGAAGATCCGTGGCCAATACTGCAGCATCTACTTCCATGTAGTCAACGATACGTCGTTCACAGAGGCCTTGATTCCAGCCATGATCATGTCCCATCCGCGGGTAAGTTTTTTTTGTTTTTTTTTTAGCCTGGAATGAAGCAACAGTACTAAGAAGCGCGCTACACCACAGCGTTTCTTGAGAATAGCTTAATTACAAGAAGGACGCATCCATACTAGGCCCAATATCTGATGTGATAAGAATGGAAAGCAGGTGCTTGAGTTGTTGCGACAAGAGTGCGAGCTTCCTGCCTTTGATGATGCATCGATATGACGCGTGCCGAAACCACTACAAAAGACAACGAGAGTGTTCTGGAGACTACTGCACCTCTGAGAGACACACCCATCTTTTCTCATTCTCGCAGTGACCATAGAATAGTCCTTTGGGTACTACAAGTGACAGAGGTAGGCTTATCTGCCCGGTTGTTGGGGCTTCCATTTGGCATCTTTAGGACTCGAATCCTGAGCAAATGCCAGATTTTAGATTTTACTGTTGGTTGCTCGGTTGACAACTGGTATTCTTGGCTAGTGTATATGTCACTTTGAAGAACACTTAGAAAGCCAGAAGAAAAAAAATAACACGAACTTTGAAAATAGAGTAAAAACGCCGGCGGAGCTGGTGCGCATCTATAATGAGAAACCCTGAGGCCAGGAACGGATGGGACAAGGACAATGCCGTATCATAACCAGCACATAAATTATTTAATTAAGGACAATCTTTTTCATTCTTCTCTAAAACACATCCCCACATCACCTGCAGCTCTACATTGTGAGACTTAAGCATTAAACCACAGGTTTAAATGCAGACTTAAAAGTTCGATGCACGCCAGCAAATATAGATAATAAAACCATCACTCCCAGAAGCTACGTCGTGGGAAGCTTCATTGCGAAAAGGAGAATGCAAACACCAGAATACCACAGGACACAGGAGGACTGGAAAGACAAAAACACTGGTGTCTTGGACGGACAGAAAGAAGAGGAAGGCCGAGCACACACCAATACCACAAGGCATATTCGAACTAGACAAAAAAAAACACACACACAGGTGTAGCATAGGCCAAACTCAATGCGAATAAACATACCTTCACCACTGCATGACACAAAAGAACTATAATACAAATACGGCCGTGTGTCCTCGTCCGAAGTCAGTGAAGGCATACTTATACAATTTCTAGCTCGGGTAATTATAATGCTTCCCTTAATTGCCCTTTTATAAATAGCTTTTTTCTTGCTATGGAGAGTCCTCTGCGCCCAATCTGGGAAAGAATTTTTACAAAGGCTTAGGTGTTTAACAATTTAAGGATTGGTGTAACTTTAATTACGCGCTTTTTATGCTATAAAATTCGATAATTTAGGCAGCGTCTGGTTTGGCCAACATACGAGAACCCATCTCGCAACTAGTTACTGGATCTGTATGGTTTTGCTGGATCTGTATGGTTTTGCTGGCAACCAGGCATACCACCGAAAACAGGAGTTAACTTACATAATTTGAAATCAATAAAAAAAAAGCTCTTACTTTATAGCTTTCTGCCAGGGTCTTTAATTTGTGAGAAAAGAGATGAAAGAAAGGCCCACTCACCCATTTATCAACATTCTCCTGTGGCGTCATAATCTTAAGAAAAGTAAAACGAACTTTTCTTAACACACTAACTAGGAGAACAAAGTTATAGCTTGTAGCCGCTAATCTCGACAGTTGAAAATTTAAACTTTCATGAACGTTACTTTAGGAATTCTTTGACTAGTCACGGTCAAAACAGACTACCTTCACCTTAACTATCGCCTTGGAATACGACCCTATGAAATGCAAGTTAGGGTCCTTGAGTGCCCAAAATTGGACCAATTTGATATTTTTTAGGCGTACGGCCTGACTTCTGTCTTCAAGATATAATCACTAGCCCTCTGTGGCGCTAACAAACGTAGTCTGATTGCACTTATTGTAAATTTTGTTAAGTAAGGTTTATTCAACAAAAACACGATGAGAAAATAGTTCCAGCTGAAATATTATGTATCGATCAAAACGGCAATTGTAGAATGACAGTTTATGAAAACCGCAGCCTATTCTCAAGCTGACAATTCGCCGTCTTTGAAAGGGCCACCTCGTATTTTTAAAACCTCTTCTCGTCGTTCAATACATTTGTTTATTTAATGATACGCTAGCGATCATGCACATACTTAGGCGAGCGAGCATCGTGTTGGGCAAGTCATTACGTGTCACCAGCGGGCGATGCGTGTGAACATGCGCACTTGGTTGGCGCAGTATAGTTTGCAGCTGACCGACTGATCCAACCTTCCTAGCGTCCACTCTGCGAGGCGACGGCACGCAGCGGACGTTCGTATAATCTGAGGTAGCTAGCTTCGGTAAGAATACTATTTTGCTCTAAAATATCGCAGGCCAGGCAAATTATATAAAGAATTTCAAACAAAACTAGTTTTGGGCTCAACATTTGCTGTGTGGAAGTTTACATATAGCATTTATAAAAGCTTCACGCAATCATGAAAATCCAAATAGAACTTTTCAAAATGTGAACACCAAATCGTAAGAAAGCACCCCTGTAGAGGAGGTAAACGAATGCAAATTCACAAGTGTTTTTACTGCCTTAAAGCCGCGGCTATGACATCGCCGCCCACGGGGATACGTCTTTTTGTTTTTCTTTATAAGACGTCTATGTTTACAACCTGAACATCCGACTACACGGTCACAGTCGAGAATAACACTCCACATGCGAGAATAGCTTCCACAGCCTTCGCCGACCTTGTCAACGTTCTTCTCCGTCGCCACGTTTGTCTGCAATTCAGCATCGCGACCGGCACGCAATGCGCGCGAAGAAGTGACGTGCGCCCAGAAATCGGCATCGCGGAAATCCGCCAGTTTGGGCAGGGCGAGGTTTGGACGCGTATCGAAATCTGAAGTCGGCGCCGCTTTGTAATGCCAAACGAAAGGCGTCCGGGTTCATCCCAAACGCCCAATGGCGGATGCGCGTTCCGAAAGTTCGATCCCGGAGCGCATCAAAAGGGCAAGTTGAGTTGGCCATTAGGCTTCACTGCCGGTTCTTCGGTTCTTAGGTGGCGTCTTTAGCTAGCGTCTGGCACTTCGGAACTTATGTGGCGAACCATTGGAAATCTAGACTTTAGGTGTTTCTGGCTAATTAAAACGAAAAAAAAGTACTTTGAACGTAATTAACGCACTGGAGCAAATTATTACGTGCGCAAGTTAGGTAGCTAGGATTGCCACACTACAGCTAAGTTAGGCGTTTCTTCAGATGCGCTGTCTACGATACTTCTGTTCCCTAAATTGTATTCTATTTTGATGGCACAGATCTTCCATCTTAGACTTTGCATCATTTCATAATATGAAGCATGTGAGAAATACTCTTTGTTGCAGGCAGTACACTTCGTTGATTTCGTCAACGACCCTAAGTCGACTCTCAATGGAATCAATATTGGACTTTGCATCATCGATGATTGCACTCACGACGATCTTCAAGCAATCGCAAACGCAGGTAAGTCATCTTACTTAACAATCATGATATTTTTCTCTCTTCTTTTTCTCATGTGTAACTCCGTCAATCTAAAAGGGCTGACTGAGTAGAAATTAGACTCAGCTTTATTTATATTTAAATAACACAGACCATTATTTTCCAAAATAGCGTGCCTCATAATTCAAGAAAAATGTTATAAGGTTTCAAAACCGATTGAGACGCACGTTGAAGACTGTTTTGCGACACTACCTTTAGCACTGCAGCCGTTACTATTATCACTTCATCATCTGTAAAGAACGTCTCTTGGCGCATTTGTTTTTTCAATGCTAGGAGTGCCCAGATATCATACGGTTATTAGTCTGTGTTGTACGGAGGGTGCTCCTATACAGTGCCAAAAATGCCAGCAAGCGCGCCCAGTGCAACAGAGAAACATGCGACTGGGCATGCTCCTAAAGCGAAACTCACTGTCCAGTTGAAGAAATATGGTCTGTTCTTTTTCATGGCTTCACGCAAGTGGGTTATCAAATGATTTGCGTAGTGAACATTGTTAGATTTATGTCTACGTGGAACACAGTGGTGTATAATTATATGGTGAACGTAAAAAGAAAAAAAGCCCAAGGATGTTGGCACATTTAACCGCAGTGAATGCCCTCCCTGAAGGTGCATCGCCATTTACTCGCATGTTGCCGTCTCTGAAGTGCTTTCACCACGGAAACACCGCAGCGTGGCTGATTGTTCATCAGCATATGATTACTTTCACATTTCAAAAGCTTTGTTAGCGCTCTTTTCAAGTTTAACACCAAATTCAAACACACACCTCGCCTTCTTTGTCCGCCATGACGGCGGGTACGATGCCATTTCACTCGCTGTAACATACCGCTAGGGACGACCCGTTCTTACTGCAGCCTCAGACGCGTCCATCTAGAGTTTAGGCTATACATGAACACCAACAGAAAGTTAATAAATGCGCGATTTTATTAATTTTCAGTATACCCTCGTACTAGTTAAAAGCTGTCTAAATTGAACATAAAGCGGGAATGAAACAAAACTGGAATAACCTAAGGATGTACAAACAAAAATGACGTGCCTCTTTTCCCCTGGCGAACACACTAAGAACCGATGGCTGCATTCAAGAAATGCTTGGGCCTCTCATTAGCCTAGCGCTTGCGTGAAACCATTGGTTTCCCATCATTATCATCATCATTTATTATTCCTTGAAGGCCCAGGGGGCATTACACAAGGAAGTGAATACTTAAAAAACAAACAAGTAACAAAACTATTTATCTACGAAAACACGCTGTAATCTAGTTATGGGTTAGAAAAAATAAGCTAACGGCTGCAGAAAATTTCTTAGTATCAGATAAGGTAACAATTACGTCAGGCAGTGAGTTCCAGTCGTCAATGGCCAATGGTAAAGTAGACATTTGGTGAGTGACGGTTGACGATGAAATCGGACGGAGTTTGCAAGAATGGTCGAGACGAGGGAAAATGCGGTAAGGGGGTGATAACAAACTTTGTCTGAGATGACTGTTGTAATAAAAGATCCGATGAAGAAGAGAAAGACGAGACACCCTGCGGCGGTGAGAAAGAGTGTCAAGGCTAGCTGATTGGCGAAGTCCTGATATGCTTGCGTATGGGGAATAGTCGGAATAAATAAAACGGAGGGCCCTGCTTTGAACGGATTCCAGGTTGTTAGTTAGGTATGCCTGCCACGGTGACCATATGGAAGAAGCGAATTCGAGTTTAGTTCTGACCAAGGTAGTATAAGCTAGTTGTTTTACGGGGGATGTAGCTTGTCTGAGGTTACGGCGAAGAAATCCGAGAGTGCGGTTAGCATCGGCGATCACAGTTGTTATATGAGTGGTCCATGACAGGTCAGATGTCAGATGAATTCCTAGATATTTATACGATGAACAAGCAGTTACTGGGATGCCAGAAAAGTGGTAAGAGGAGGATAAAACATGTGAACTGCGGGAAAAAGATAGCGATTTACATTTATTACAGTTTAAAGCCATTTGCCATTTATGACACCACTGAATTATAAGTTGGAGATCGTTTTGCAAGGTTAGCTGATCGTGGCGTGAATGAATGGGTCTATATATGACACAGTCATCGGCGAACAAACGTACTTCAGAAGTGATGCCATGGTGGAGATCATTAATGTAGATTAAAAAAAGAAGGGGGCCAAGAACGCTTCCCTGAGGGACGCCAGACGTTACTGCGCTTGTGGTAGATTTTATATTGTTAATAGAAGTGTACTGTGTGCGATTAGTAAGGAATTCAGAAATCCAATTGACTACTGAGGGGTGAAGATTAATATTTCTTAGTTTCATTAAAAGACGTTGATGAGGGACCCTGTCAAATGCTTTGGAGAAGTCAATAAAGATGGCGTCAGTTTGAACATTGGAATCGAAATTTGAGTAAACGTCAGTTAGAAATGCTGTTAGCTGAGTTTCGCATGAGTAGGACTTGCGAAATCCGTGCTGGTGCTTGAAAAGGAGGTTATGAGAGTCTAGGAAATTTATTATGTTAGAATAGAGAATGTGCTCCAAGAGTTTGCATGAAACGCTGGTGAGCGAGATGGGACGATAGTTGCTGATTAGTTGGCGATGGCCTGTTTTATGAACGGGTATGACGTTAGCAACTTTCCAATCTGATGGTACTTCAGAGAGTTTAAGAGATTGAGAGAATATGTCGCAGAGGAAAGTGGAAGAAATGTGTTTAGTGTTTATTAATACCTTAGAGTTAATTTGGTCATCTCCGGAGCTGGAGGACAGCTTTAGTTGATCTATAGCCTTAAGTACTCCAGTAGGGTCAATTACGATAGGATCCATGAGAGGGTGAGTGGATTGGCACGAGTCGGGAATATTTAGTAAGTCCTCGTTAGTAAAGATGGAGCAGAAGAAATTATTAATAGCAAGAGCGCCGTGTTTATCAGAAAGCGGAAGTCCGTCGTCATCTACAAATTGCAAAGGAAGTGAAAGTGCCGGATTGATTATTTTCCAAAACTTCTTTGGTTTCGTGGTCAACTGTATTTAAACCGATCTTTGTTAACAAATCAACTGTATTTAAACCGATCTTTGTTAGCAAACATTTTTATATAACCAGAAATGAAGTGAGCGCCTCGGTGCACTTCTTTCCGGCCATACCGAAACAAAATTAGAAATACCAGAAAATAAGAACGCGTATATGAGCCCTAGACACGCATTTATGCTGCAACAGTGAGCACGAAAATGCCTTGATCAGTATACCTAAGATGATTTCACTTTCATTCAGTAATTTATTTTGGCGTGCTCGTTCTCTGTCTTCCTTTTTAGGGGACGGTAAGACATAATTTAGCATCGCGGAACTGGGAACCCTTCTTGACCGTTGTGGTATTCTCGCCCACGGCTTGCCCGGAAAAAAGATTAAAGTCATGATGGCGGACTTGTTATTTCTTGAACCCGGCGTTCGGCGGCTTACGCCATCATGGCTCAACTGTCCCATCACGGCACCTTGCGCTCCGTGCCTTTGCTCCGCGCCTTCTAAAGACGTTCTAATGATGCAACAAAGGTACCTAACGCAATTGCTTTGCATGCCAGAATTTCTAAATAAACGTCCAATGTCTTTCCGCTTACACTGTATGGACATTTTAACGGGCGCATCGCTGCTATGGCCTAAACCAGCCTCTATACACGGAGAAGGGGCGCACCCTTTTAGAATTCGGCTATAGACCTTTCCATCGCTTATCGCCCAGGCGAAAAATGTCAAGTCACTGGACTGTTACGCAGGCGCGGCGTACGATCTTTTCGCAAGAGGCGCTATTGCGCGTGCTCAGAAGGCGTTTAACAGTCCAGTAAGAAAAGATGGCAGCTCGCAGAAGGCGTTTGTTGGAAAGGTCTATACGGTCGGTGATGCCGACGCCGCTTGACGACCCCAATGACATGCACTTTTTCAGGAAAGGCAGCAAACACAATACACTGTGTGGGTTCGGAAGTGACGTGCCGCCAAACGTCGGTTTCCAGTTAGATATGTCGATTGTCGTATAGTGGGTTTTCCGCTATCCGGCTCAACAAAGGAGACTAGTTTCACTCTAAAGTGACGTTGCCTTTGAAATGAGGTGCTGCCGGCGGGCTTCACAACGACCAGCGAAATTAGCCGTAAATATTAACGTGCTTCTGCCGTGGCAAAACACACAACTAACCAAATATCATTATCATTGGATGAAACCCGGTCAATAAAGCTCACGAAATTGTTTTTATCTAAAATAGAAGTGTTTGTTGTTGCACCTCACGAGACGCTTCATAAACCCATCACACCTGAAAACTTGCTTCTTAGCACGAAACTTTTTTTTTTCACCCCAACACACGCTGAGGTTACGTATTATATCTCGGCGAGGATTGGTTGAGGAAGAGTTCTGATAAAATACTGGAGAGGATTATGTTTTTTTTTTAGTTGATAGGTTGAAGGTACAGGGCGTCACACCAAAAGCAAATTACAGTTTTTTTTTGTTTGTTTGTTTTTTTACCGCGAAAATCAACTAGGCATCGCCGAATGCTCATTATACGCCCAGAGGTAGCGCTAGAGTTCACAAGATGCCAAAGTTTTAGCCCAATCCGATACCTCATTCAAAAAATATAAGTGATTTTCTGAAAATTTCAATGGGAAAAGGAAGCTCATTTTTGCCCGTTCCTCGGTTTCTGGTGCCATAGAGCCCCATGCATTCGAAAACTCCGTCGGCCGCCATTTTCCCATTGAAGTTTTAAGAAAATCACATATAACTTTTGATGAGGTTATCGGAACGGGCTGAAACTTTGGCATCTGGTTGTGACCTCTAGCGCTACCTTTTGGCGGAGAATGAGCGTTCGGCGATGCCTAGTTTACTTTTGCGGTAAAAAAAAAACCTGTAAAGTATTCTTTGTGACAACCTGTATTTCATAGCAAAATGCCTACTTAAAAAAAGCATGGGCTTTCCACAAGAGTGTTGTGAGTCATGTAAAAACTTCGGGGAATAAATATATAATAAAACTCATTAATAAATA